AGGAAAGGCTGTCAGGTGCCGTGGCCTAGGTTTCTCACTGAAAATCCTCGTCCCCCGGCGGCACCTTTTTTTGAATTTTCTTCCTTTTCAACGCCGTTTTTCGGGAATTTCGGATTTTTTTTGAATTTTTTCGCAATAATATTTGAAAAACAAATAAATTTTAACACATTTTAATGCAATAAAAATTTTTGGTCGGAGTCCCCCTTTAAATTATTTTTATACAATTTATTTAAAAAAAAGAGCTTTCTGTGACAATATTTGCAAAAATAGGCACCGCCCATTTATCCCTCTTTTAACTGTACCGGCCGGGTTCCATGTCTCAAGTGGGGCCCCTGTCTCACAGGCGGCCCGCAGCTAGATGGTGCAGGCTTAAAACTACCGTAACTCTCTTCATTTTTGTTCAAATTGGATGAAACTAATTTTGTTAAAATTGTCGTTAAAATACAAACAAAATGAGTATAATCATGGCTAGGTTTGGATGAAATTTTTTTTTTCAAATATTTTTTTCAAATTATTAAAAAAGCTTTAATTATTTTCATACAAAAATTTATTCAATCAAAACAAAGAGAGAAAGAGCACACAAATACAAAAAAGACTGATACTTTTCAGAAAAAAATTACAAAAAAAATTTTGGGGGACAAAAAGAGGTACCGGTAAAATTGGGTGGTTTTATTAAATGCGGATCGAAAAAGGCTGATAAAATTGAGCTTTTTTTTTTAAATTTAAGTGGGTTTTGAGAATAGGGCGAATTTGCATTTTTGGAAAATTTGAAAATCGAAAAACGGAAAACTGAGAAATTTGGTCAATTTGAACCTAGAAAAGCAAAAATGATTTTAGGAAAAAAAAATTAGAAAAAAAGAAAGAATTTGGGGGGTATTAGGGGACCCAGAAAAATAGGGTATACACTGTTGATGAGAGGGGTGGCCTAGAAAACTCATTCTAGGCCAGCATTTGTGAATTGTTCAAGGACTCAGGCCAGGCGGCATGAGCATTCCAGTTGGGTCCCCCCCTGGTGCTCGCTGCTTTTGCTTCTTGTCTTTCATTCGGCGATTCTAAAAAACCATTTTTTTTGTTAATTGGATAATTAAAGTTAAAGGTAATTTAGAAGTTTTATTTTTTTACGAGAAAAAACTTCTAAAAAAATTTGTTTTCAATTTTTTTTTAGAAATTCGATGGCGCATATCACAGTTCAAATTTAGAATTTGAGATTGAAACTAATCAGTGAAATTTAGAACTTTACAAAATCTACAAAACGATACAAAATTCGACTATGCTAAATTTCCTACTTTTGAACTACGGGCCATCGGCGCTACACGGTCAGATTTTGTAGATCTGGCTCTTTTTCAGCGTAGTGGCTCAAAACTCCGTTCTTCAATTTCAGTAAATTTTATACCGCTTTGTAGGCCTTTTTAAAGCCTACATTTTACTTTTTGATTCAAACAAAAAATCTAATTTTGAACGAAGTTATGCGCCTTTAACTACTTTCTCTCTCTCTACCACCTGGAAACAAATTATCGCTTTATCTTTGCTAGAACACAACTCGGTTCAAACTCAGAATTTTATATTGAATTAAAAATTAAAATGTAGAACTTAATACGATCTACAAATCAATACTAAATGCGACTATACTAAATTATCTACTTTTGAGCTACGGGCCATTGGCGCTACACATTCCGATTTCGCCGTAGCTTGCGTATTCCAAACACCGGAAATTTATTTTTTTAAAGCTACATATAATTTTGTAGATCTTTTTAAGTCCTACATGTTTATTATTGGCCCAAACCAAAAATTCAATTTTGAACCAAGTAATGCGCCTTTAAATATTTTCTATCTCTCACCTGGAACCAAATCTTGACTTGTCGCTCTGTCAGATGCAAATACTTTGCCAATTCCCATCGTTTCTGTTTGCTAACATATGTATTATACAGAAACTCTTTTTCCAGCTCCAAAGTTTGAGCTTTTGTGTATGGCTTTCGCTTTTTCCTCATCGAATGGGAGGATGATGTCCATTCCAGCTGAGCTCCATCTGAAGTTTGAAAAAATTGAGTCTTTTTTAAGTTGAATTATCTCGGTTCTTACAAGAGATATCAAAAGTGTGTTAACTAATGAAATGTTAAACATAATATTACTAACATTTTATTAGTTAACAAATTTTTGATATCTCTCACAGGAACCGAGATAATTGAGCTAAAAGAGTAGATGCCGCAAGCGTTGCCGACTGCGACGCACCCATCTACTAACTTTGAGCTCAATTATCTCGCTTCCTATAGAAGCTATCAAAAATTTGTCAACTAAGGAAATGTAAAACATAAAATTTCCAATGTTTTGTTAGTTGACATCTTTTTGGTATCTATAACAAGAACCGAGATAACTTAGCTGCGCGATCGGTCCTCCAAGACGATCATAATTTCAACAATTTTTCTTCAAACTTGACGAAAATTATACCATTCAAATCAACTTGAAAAAACATGTCTTGCTGTACATTTTTCATATATTTCTAAACAAAACGAACCATTCAAACTTCCATCCAAATTTGGCATCGAGTAGCCTGATGGAAATGGGTATTGTTGTCCATAAGGGTATCCCCATGAAGCGGCCAAACTGTTGTTATAGAAATCCGAGTAGACTGATGGATTGACCATCATTCCAAAATCGTTTGCTGTTGGGAATCGGCCAGTGTTGAATGGATACATACCGGCTGCTGCCGTCGCTGGCATTCTGGAAAATTATTATGCTTTTTGGGATTTCAAGGGGGATTTCAGATAATCTGGAAGTGTGAAAATCCTTCAAAGGAACCTTAAAGGTTAAAGTTGAGGGTTAGGAATAAGGATCTTTGAAGTTTAGGGATTGAACTTAAGGGTCCTCTGATGAGCTTGCCTTTCAAGATCAATTATCTCGGTTCCCATGAGAGATATAAAGATGTTGTCAACTAATAAAATGTAGGTAATACAATGCCAAATAGTTCATTAGTTGACAATATTTTGATATCTCTCACAGAAATGGAGATAATTGAGCTGGAAGTGAAATCAAAGGAAGCTGATGATTGCCGCAATGTATCTATCTGGTGACCCTCTAATTGTAAGTTCAACTCCTAGACCTTAAAATTTATAAAAAACACTCTTTGAGAATTCAAAAATTTCAGATTTCAAAGAATCTCTCAAAAAGTCATTAACGTTTAATTCGAAAAGTTGAACTTAAGGGTCAGCTCAGCTACCTGATAGCTTCCTTACACTTCAAGCTCAATTATCTCAGTTCCTATAAGAGATATCAAAATTATGTCAACTAATAAAATGTAGGTCATAATACGCCAAATATTTTATTAATTTACAATATTTTGATATCTCTTATAGGAACCAAGATAAATGAGCTCAATTTTGAGGGGTTTGTCGACTCCAGGCGACTAATTTGTAGTATGAAAGTTTGTCTTCTAGTATCTCGGTTCCCATAAAAGATATGGAAATTTTGCTAACTGATAAAATGTTTGCCTTGATATCAACAACATTTCATCAGTTGACAAGTTTTTGATATCTCTTATAGAAATCGAGATAATCAAGCTTGAAGTGCAGACAAGGCTGGCGACCTGGTAGCTTGTCAGCCGGGCAGAAACTAAAAACTAACCCAGTGGGAAGTATTGGCATTTGTGGACTGTTCGCTGCTTCCGATCCTCTTTCCGAATGGCTATCCGTCGGTGGAACAGTTGGTCGATTATTGGATGCCGAGCTACTGGGCCCACTCGATGTTCCCGATGACCCAGATGCCGATTGTTGAAGCTGAGCAACCGATGGCCAGAAGCACGACGCCTGCTGCATCATTTCCGAAGACGTCGTTGGTGGAGACTCGGATTGTTTGTTGAAGGAAACAGGAGAAGAGTCTGGAGACGTCTTGATGAAGACGTTGGGCGTTGTGGAGGAGTTGTTCATCATGTGTTGCATCACAGAAATCATTACATATGGCGTTTCAGATGACGTCGTCGTCGGCGGAAGGAGGAGGATTCAGAAGAGTTCAGAAGACTTCGGGGTGGTCCCTGCAAGAAAAGCACATTTTTGAGGGGTACCGGGGGAAAGGAGAAGCGAGAAACGAAATATCGAGAAGCCGCGGAAAAATAATTAGAGAGATGGAGAAGGTGTTAGTAGAAGGAGGAGAACTGAAAATCCAAATTTTGAAAAAATAATTGGCGGGAAAAAATTTGAAAATTTGAAAAAATAATCTGTAAAAAGGGGCAGAAGTGTTAGTTTAAAAAATTCCAAAATTGCAAAGTTTCCGGAAAAAACAATTAGTGGGGGTAATTAGTGTTAATTGGGGAGATTGAAGATTTGAAAATTTGAAAATTTCGAAAAAATTAATTAGTCGGGGTGATTAATTGGGTTAATTATGTGCTTTCTTGCAGGGCGGACAACCGGACAAACAGACAGACAGGGAAAAATAGTTCAAAAAATTGGATTACTGTACTTTCAAAAAAAGACACACGGAGAGAGAAAAATTCACTTTATATTGGGGTTTTTTCATGAGGAAGAGTGGGCTTCTTTTGGAAAGATAAAACACACACACGCACACAAAAAATTCAACAGGAGTTTAGGAAAAATTGATTTTTAGGGAAATAAGGAAAACGATTTTTTTCTAGTAAATCTGAAAATTCTGAAATTCTGAATCCTGGAATTCGAGAAATCCAAAGATTCCAGAATTTCAAAAAATACAAAATTTTCGAAAAAAGTTGGAAACAATGAAATTCGGAACGGTGTCTAGGGATGGGTACCGGTGGAGGGGAAAAAGAGCAAAAGCAAAAATGGGGGGCTACAGTAACCCTGTATACGGTAGAGAGAAAGGAAAAAAATAGAGATTTCAGAAATTAAAAATAGGAATTATGGAAAAAAATGATATTTTTGAGAAGTGAAGTTAGATGGGTGTGGGGGTACAATAGATTTTTTTTCGACCGCTGAAAATAGTGGGCGGAGCCTAAATCATCTAATTGATCAATCGCTCGTTGCACGGAATCATCAGTTCTCCATGTGGAAATGGTCCCGAAACGCGTTGTCGCAGTTTTTTGTCCTTCATTCGACGATTCTGAAAATTTGTGTATTAATTGGGGGTAATTAGAGGGTAATTAAGGTGAAAAAATAGAAAAGAATTGGTAAAACATGCTGGGGGTTAGAAAAGTTAGATTCTTAGATTCTTAGATTCTTAGATTCTTAGATTCTTAGATTCTTAGATTCTTAGATTCTTAGATTCTTAGATTCTTAGATTCTTAGATTTTTAGATTCTTAGATTCTTAGATTCTTAGATTCTTAGATTCTTAGATTCTTAGATTCTTAGATTCTTAGATTCTTAGATTCTTAGATTCTTAGATTCTTAGATTCTTAGATTCTTAGATTCTTAGATTCTTAGATTCTTAGATTCTTAGATTCTTAGATTCTTAGATTCTTAGATTCTTAGATTCTTAGATTCTTAGATTCTTAGATTCTTAGATTCTTAGATTCTTAGATTCTTAGATTCTTAGGTTCTTAGATTCTTAGATTCTTAGGTTCTTAGATTCTTAGATTCTTAGATTCTTAGATTCTTAGGTTCTTAGATTCTTAGATTCCGTTCCCCCTAAACTCCAAAACGAACTAACCTGGAACCATACTTTAACCTGCTTCTCATCCAGCATCAATTGAAGTGACAATTCCGATCGTCGTTTATTCGTCAGATATGGATTTATCTTATATTCATATTCCAGTCTTGAAATTTGATCTTTTTTGTATGGTTGTCTCTTCTTTTTCCCTTCCGATGCCATTGCCCATGACAGTGTTGCCATTGATGCGTTTGGTGTCGTCGCAGTTGATGAACGGTTTGACGATGGAATTGTTACATCTGTAAGAATTGAAAATTGAGGTACTGTATGCGCCTTTAAAGATTCTGGAGTAGTTGAGCAAGTATCTAATCTTGCAGCTCAATTATCTCGATTCCAATTAGAGATATCGAAATTTCGTCAATTAATAAAATGTAGGTCATATTATGCCAAATATTTCATCAGTGGACAAAGTTTTTATATCTTATACAGGAACCGAGGTAATCGAACTGCAAGTATAGTAGTCGATTATTCCATGACCCACATCTGATAAGTTATAGCGTACCTAAAAACTTGCGTAAACCACCGCGCCCCTATACGCCTTCCCATTAGCTTCTCTAAGTGTGCGTCTTAGCCGACTTGGTAAAGCTTTTGCTCACCAATCTGGCATCGGGGGTTCGACTCCCGCCCCCGGCAAATCCTTTTTGCATATTTTTAAAGGGATATTAAAGCTATATAGGGACAAAATGGATATTTTCACAGTTGCTAGAAGCTAAATTATCCAACAAATTAGGAGAAAATTGATCTACACAAAAAGAAAATAAGAAATAAAAATTTCCAATGGGAACAGAGAGAGAGAGAGAGGAGAGAGAGAGAGAGCAGGTGGGGCGGGAAATTTCGGATGGAATCGTAAAATTTCGGAGGGCTTCTGAGTGGGCCCATGTTTTCAAAGGGAACATGTGCCGACGGGGTTTCCTTTCAACTCAAATTAATTGTTTAAAGGGGGATAGGGTAGGGACAGATGGACAGGATTATGGTATTCAAGGGGGCGGGGCTTAAATGAGATTTTAGTTTTACGGACTTTCAGATCTTTAGGTTTCCGAATTTTGAGATTCCTGGAAATTGGGGCTCCTAAATGCCTAGGTTTTTTGATTCTGGTTTTCTGAACGTTTCTGAAATTCTAGAAAATTCCGTCCCAAATTTCACAGTGCTTCAGATTCTCAAATTCTCACTTCCCCTCTAATCCCGTATTTTTTCCACATTGCTCAGCTCATATCGTTCATAAATCAAATAGTTGTGTCATGCCTATACCTGACGGATAGGAGATTAACGGATATCCGGACACACAGACTCACAGAAAAGGACAGGGATAATCATAAATTGTATGTGGTTTAAGGTATAAAACATTCACGTAATCCGGTACCAACAGCAGATGATGTTCCCAGAATTCTATGAAACACCTGCACGGATACGGTCATAAAATTTTCTCCGGGGGGGGGGGCACACACGCAATACAACTGAACAGATGTGCCTTCTGGAATTTTTGAAGGCTAGGATTTAAGAATCTCGAAATTTAGAAATCCAGAGAAATTGAGATTCCGGTATTCCTGGATTTTAAAAATTTCAAATTTCGAGATTGCTGACTGTCAGGGTTCTAGAATACTGAAAATCCGAAATTCTGAAATTCTGAAATATCGGGATTCCTAGAATTTTAGAATTTTAGAATTTTAGAATTTTAGAATTTTAGAATTTTAGAATTTTAGAATTTTAGAATTTTAGAGTTTCAGAAATTTAGAATTTTAGAATTTTAGAATTTTAGAATTTCAGAAATTTAGAGTTTCAGAAATTTAGAGTTTCAGAAATTTAGAGTTTCAGAAATTTAGAATTTTAGAATTTGAATCCTGGATTTATGAAAGTGCAATATACCAAATTTTGAAATTTCAAAGTTACAGAATTTCAGAATTTAAAACATCCAGCATTTCAGAAGTCCAGAATTCTAGAATACCAAAAATCGGAAAGTCTGAGACTCTGAAAATCTTAAAATTTCAATTTTAAGATTCTCAAATTTCCAGATTTCCAGAGTTTCCAGAGACTTCAGAATTTCAAAATTTTTGATATTTTGAATCTCAGACTCTAAGAATTTCAGATTCCGATAAAACTGAAAAGTTCAAAATTTGTGTATTTGAAGATCCGCATTTTTTTGAAATCTAGAATTCTAGATTTTCAGAATTTTCGTTTTTTGATTTTTTGAATTTTGAGTTTCTGAAGTTAAGAATTTCCGAGTCAAATAATCGAAGAATCTAAAATTTGAGAATTTCAGAACTTTCTAGAATTTCAGATTCGGAAAACAAATTGCAAGTCTTCCAGATTTCCAGATTCCAACGATCCCATATCCAGAATCATTTTCTCCAATTCCCAGAATTCTCTTTTCCCAAAAAATTCATTTTCACCACTTTTCCCCCAGTTACTAAAAATTGGCAAAACTAGCAATAAGTTTACCTCCTCCTTCAATTCAAAACTTTCAATATTCACAAAATCGACAATTTTACGATTTATTGATTCTTCGATGATTCAGAAGACCCCCTTTTCAGACGATGTTTGCTCTTATATATGCCCTTCTTTTTTCCATTTTTTCCCGTCAAAAAATTTAAGCCGAAAATTTGGTACTTGAAAATTCAGCTACCTTAAAACCTCTATTAGAAGGGCGCCTTTAATTGAAGAGACCTCTCTAATAGAAGGGCCCTCCGGAGTAATCTTGGAACAATATAAGTGCCGGCCTTTCTGATACAGGTTTTCCGGTTCAAACTTTTGAATTCAAATTCCCAAGAAATTCAAAAAAGTGAGGAACAAAACATTTCAGGGACTACGGTAACTTATCTACACGAAAAATCAAGTGGCATCTTTTTTTTTGCTGCTGATGCTACAGCTACGCCGTCTTTTCTTCTTTGCATCGGCGCCTATAAAACACGGCGTCGTAAAATTCTAGACAACAGGAGACAGAGGACCCATCTCTCATCTCTCTAGGCGGCACTTTGAACTTGACGAAAAGACGAACAACTTGCCGAAAGAAAAATGATGATGACACATCTGGAGTAGAGGATTACGGTGGATTCTGGGAAGCTCAGGGAAATTTTGATTTCGAAAGTCTAGCGAGTCACCGTTTGAGAAAGTCAACTTTGATCTCAATTATTTCATTTCTTCTAGAAGATATCTTAAAATGGTCAACTGATAGATTACTTATCAAAAAGTTACCAACATTTTATCAGTTGACAGCATTTTGATATCTCTTATAGGAACCGAGATAGTCGAGCCCAAAGTTGACGCGTCGCTAAGCTGCTCGGTCGACTTGCGTCCTCTATGCTTGCAACTCAATTATCTATAATTCCTGGGAAAGATATCAAAAAGTGGTCAATTGATACAATGTCGAGCATAAAATTATCAACAATTTATCAGTTGATAATTTTTTGATATCTTTTCAGGGAACCGAGATTATTGAGCTTTAAAATCGGTAACTTTCAGAAAAATAAATAATATTCGAAATTTCAAAATTTGAGTGTCCGAATTTTGATTCGGCAAGATTTAGAAATGCAAATTCTATTCACAATTTTACACTTTCATCTGGAACTCATTTTCAAAACATTTTCGCTGAAATCCACAATTTCAGATATTATGAAAAATTCCGAAGATCGGAAAACTGGAAATTGGAGAATTACAAATTTCAATAAAAAACCGATGTTTACAAAAAGTAAAAAATTTGAAAATCAAAAATTCCAAAATTATTAGGCTAATCGATAATTGGGCTCCTCACTAATTATCACTAATTACCCCTAACCGCTAATTAGCTAATTACTTTCCCTCAGTGAACTCCAAGACCTTCAAGGTCCCCCAATTCCATTCCCACGACGGCTCCCATCCGTCTGCTCTCATCTGTTCGGTTCCCTTCTCTCTCTCTTTCTCTCTTTTTAACTACCGTATATATCTTTTCTCTCTCTCTCTCTCTCTCTCTCTCTCTCACACTAGCCCCCCCCCCCAACTAATTGAAATTGACCAAAGAGAGAGTGTATGTTTTTAATCCGAAAATTCGACGACGACGACGACGTCTTCTGAAGGCAACCAACCAGACACGGAGTCGTAAAACGAGAGAGCATTTGAAATTAAGAGAGTGGTTAGAGAAAAATTGGGAGAAGTGGGGATTCAGAAGGGCTGGGGATGGCGCCAAAATGAGTTATGGTCTCAGTTTTTTCGGACTTTTTTTAGTGGTGATGACAAATTTCTGGCGTGATTTATGGATTAGGTGTGAATCTAGAAAGTGCAGAACCTTGCGAAATTTGAGGAATTACAGTAACCCAGAGAAATTTAGGATTTTTAAAATACCGTATTCCCTCTAATAGAAGTCGCCCACCCAAATCGTTAACTTTGAGCTCAATTGTCTGGGTTACTGTAAGAGATATGAAAAATCTGTCAACTGATAAATTGTTCATCATAATATCACCAATATTTCATCTGTTGACAAAATTTTGATATCTTTCACAGGAATCGAGATAATAGATGTTTAAATCATGAAAGATGACTCAAAATCATTTCAACTAGTTACCGCGAACACCCTCATAGAACGCCACCCAAACCGTCCACTTTGAGCTTATATATCTCATTTCTTGAAATCCATCAGACTCCATTTGAGCTTTATCACATCCTAATTATGCATAATTAAGCCCCGCCCACTTCTTCTACAGTACCACTCAAAAAAGTGAACCTGTCAATCAGTCAGATTTCTTATCGATATTTAGTCCGTCCCAAAAAAACTTTTTTTCTTCGTTTTTTTTCAATTCTATTGTGTACATGTACATGATGATACACGTATAACAGAGTCATACCCCCAGCAAAAAAAAACTTGAAAGGGGCGCCGACGAAAAGAGAGAGAGAGAGAGAGAGAGAGAGAGAGAGAGAGAGAGAGAGAGAGAGAGAGAGAGAGATGTTAAGAAAGAAACTTAGTGAGAAACAGAGGATTACTGTAGAAGGGGTATCTTTTTTGGTGAATCCTCTAGGAGTACTGTAGAAGTCTATTTTTACAACAAAAAAAATGATTTTTTTCAGGAGAAATAGTACTAATTCGTAGGCCAATTTTATGTCCACCCCTTGGCCAGGCCAATGGACGGTAATTAATAATTTTATGGGTGTTATTATATATATATAAGGAGTGGTTAGAAAACGGAAATTCGGGAAATCTGAAGTCCGGAAAATTCAGAAAGAAAATTTTTGAGAGCAAATTGAGGACGAAAAAATTGGACGCAAAATTCTGAGGCGGCTAGATCAAAAGGAAAAAAATTAGTGGAAATTGATAAGGCAGAAGAGAATGCGGAAAAATTTTTTGGGGTGTGTAGAAAAATGGGGGTACGGTAGGAGACGAAGAAGAAACAACATTTTTCTAGTTGTAAAGATAGTTTTTTTTGTGATGAATTGATAACTTCCGGTGAGATTTTGGTTACTGTAGTTTTCTAACAGATTAGCCAACACAGGAACTCAAAAATCGAACTGCAAGGAAAAATCCCAAAAAAAGCCGATCTACAACTTTAACTCCAGTTATCTAGCTTTCTGTGAGAGCAATCAAAAAGTTGTTAACTAATAAAATGTGCCTGTTATTACGCTGAACATTTTACTAATTGACTATTTTTTGATTTCTCTTACAGTAACCAAAATAAATTGGGTTAAAGGCAGGACCCTGTTACACAGATTAGGAAGCACCCAGTCTACAAAAAACGATAAAATTATACACGGGTTAAAAGTAATCGATAAAATTCAAATTTCCGAAAAACAGACTGACCTTTAAATCCCATAGCATCCGTAACAGTGGCTCCCGTGTACATTGGCTGGTACTGAAATCCATATGCCTGATAGGCCCACGGATTATAAGCCGATTGATAGAGATACTGTTGTTGAGCAGTGGCTGCGAAATCGAACATTGCCGTTGAAGAAGCAGAAGGCGTCGTTGAAGAGTGAAGAGGTGTAGAAGACGTTGAACAAGATGAAGACGTTGTCATTTGAGAAGTTAAACTTGGGTTATACATCATTTGACTGGAAAGATACGTATCGTTTTGGGGGTTTGGCTCACAAGCTCAATTATCTTGGTTTCGCAACAGATATCAGAAAGTTGTCAACTCATAAAACGTTTATCACAATATCAGGCAAAGTTTTTAATTTAAAGTTGTTAGGTATCTGTTAAAGGTACCGAGATAATTGAGCTGTAAGTATATTGGTCTGAAGAGTGGACGACCGCTTAGCTCGTTTATCTCTAAACGATGCGATTTAGACCTACCTATACTGAAAACTTATTCAAAACTTGATTCTGATAGTTTCAGAGCGTTTAAAAAGCGATTGAAACTTTAAAAATTAAATTTTCGGAGTTACTGTCCCAGAAGTATGCTTGAGCTAACCTTAAACGAAATTCAAGCAAGATTCAGCTTAACTAAAACATTCTAGACACAAAATTTTCAGTTGAATACGTTTTAACAACACAAAACACTTAAGTTTATGTCTAAGACCCGAAAAGTACATTTTTCCAAGTCTCATTTGTTTTTGAAGTTCTCCAGGTAACTATACTCTATGTCAGCTTATGTCTAACCATGCCCCGTTGAATTGCAATTTCCTAAATCAAAATTTTATGAGATATTTGAATTTGTAAGTTTTAAATCTTTAAAATAGCTGACTGAACCGAAAAAACTCAAAATTCAAAAGCCATCAGAGACTTGAGACTTCAAAGAAGGGCCCGCACTAATTGGAATGTAGCTCGATTAACTTGTAACCATGTTCCTTTAGATTAAAGTGTTTAGAATCAAAATTTTAAGAGAAATTCAAATTTTGATATTTTAAGGTTGGTAGAATGGTTTTTTAAACCAGAAAAAACTCAATTCTCAAGAGCCATTGGGGCTCTTTAAGTGAGCGCGGCTACTTTCTATAAGCTAGTTCGTTTGAGCCTATAAAGAGCGCCATCAATTTACCATGTTCCTTTAAATTTCAGTTAGTTTACTGAATCAACATTTTAAGACCAATTTCAGCATTTCAAACTTTTTGAAAAATTGTTCTAAACCAGAAAAGAGCAATTTACCAGAGAGCTACGAGATTTAACCGAACTGGGATAGTTTCTATCAGCTTTTGAAGCTATTTCTAGACCAAAATTTTCCGCCAAATTCAAATTCCCAAAATTTCAAATCTTCCCGATCCTCACCTAAACTGAAAACTCGGATCACTCAACCCATGACTCCACAAGCTTTGAGCCGTTGCGGCGCCAACGATGTCGCTGTTCGGTGCCGGTGAGGAAGAGTCGGAACGCGAATCGCTGATGCTCAAATCCCTCATCGCCTCCATCGAGAAACGTCTTAATTAGTACCAGATAATTAAAGGGGTAATTAATCAGAAAAGCAGTAAACGGAAAGAGTCGTAAATATAAAAAGGGGGCGGAGTTTGAACAACAGCAATAGTGAATAAATAAATAAATAAAATCAAATAAATAAATAAAATCAAATTTTAGGATCACCACCCTGCTTTAAGGGCAGGTAATAAAGATTAAAGAGCACTAAAACCCCGGCACGCATGTATTATAAAAGGTATAAAACTGGGGGCGAAAAATGCAATAGAGAGGAGAGAGCGAGGTGATGGGGCGGAGTGGAAGCTCCGCCCTCTTCGCCTTAGACCTACAGTAATTCATGGACAAATAGTGGACGCAGCGAGGGGTGGAGTTTGGAATATAGGGAATGGAACAAATTGGGTGTGTACACTACTTTTTTTTGGTTTTGGTTTTGCTTTTTTGGTTTTGGCATTTTTGGAAGCTTCTGGAAACTTTGTAACCTTTAGGAATACCATAATCCCTTTTTTCTTTGTCTCTAAACGAATAATTAAATTTTACGATCATATTGGCCTTCTTCTTATTCTTCTTTTTCCCCGTCCGATGATCCTTTAATATGCGTATTGGGGTCATTGATATCCGGATAATTTTCACCGGAGTGTTTTGGAGGATTCTAGAATTTTTGATTCTGAAACTTGAACGTCAAAATTATATGGGGCCTTCGAAGTTTCCCGGAAAAAAGGAGCTTCTGAATTCTCAATTTCTTAAATTTCGAAATTCTGAAATTTTTGAGATTTTGCATTTTGGAAACTCTGAGATTCTGATGTTTCGAAATTCTTAAATTTCAAGACTCCAGAACTTCAAATTTTTGAGCTTCTGTTGTCCTGAGATTCTTAAATTTTGAAATTTGGAGATTCTGAAATTCTAAGATTTGGGAATCTAGAAGTGCAGAGTTTCAAGATTTCGAGTTTCTGAAATTCTGAGATTTTGAGATTCGTGATTTTGAATTTTCCAGAATATCCAGAATTTTTCTAGAACCTATTCTAATTAGTTCGAATATTCTGAAATGTTAAAATTTCGATTTTCAGTTTTTCATATTTCAATTTTCCCCCAGTTTCTCAATTTTCAAAAATTTGAATTTTTTCGGAAATTTGTAATTTTGAAATTCCAGAAAACTCTTTCAAAAACAAGACTATCAATTTTGAATTGGGAAATTTAATACCATAATTTTTTGCTAGACAAATTGGAGACGTCTATTTTGTCTCTTAAAATTAAAATTTCATAATTGTTCAAATTATTTTTCAAAAAACTCAAATTTCTCTTAAATTCTGAATTTTTAAACAAAAATTTAGAAAAGCGAAAAAATAATTTTTCTCTGGCACACACACCTGACACAACAAGGCAACCAAAGATTATATAGACTATGGCTGAAATTGAAAAAAACGCTTTTTCTCTTAAAATATCTGTCTGGAACATTTGAAAATTATATTTTCAGGTTTAGCACATCGAGACGATCAAAATGAGTATAAACATGGTATACTTTGGAATATGTCCTGAAATTTTCAGGAAATTGGCTGTAATTTCAGAATTTTCCATTTAATCAGCTTGATATTTAAAAAAATCAGGATCAAAAGACAAAGAGCTTCAAAATGAGCACAATCATGGCACACTTCCAAAATCCGTGAGCCATGGGGACTGTACAAACCACACCACGCGCCAGTTGTCGGCAGCCGAGCTCTTGAGCTTTGCGTTCAATTACCTCGGCTCCTATAAAAGATATCAAAAAATTGTCAACTGATAAAATGTTCATCATGAATTCAAAAACATTTTATTAGTTAACAAAATTTTGATATCTCTTATAGGAACCGAGATAATTGAGCCGCAAGTGCAGGGGTCGCAAGCGCGGCGGACAGTGTAGCTCGCTTAACTCGCCGAGAGGCATTCAGTTCATAAAAGCTAGCTCAGTGGCACGGAATTTCCAACATTCCTCAACAGACGCTGAACTTCTACTTTCAGAATGTCTCCATACCTTATGATATACAGTACACCCCTCTCCCTTTTTCCACGTGTGTCCCTGGTACCTGTGTGCCTGTCAATAGAAAACACATATCTTCTGTCACAATCTAGTTATTTATATAAACATCTCAATGTCCCCCTTAGAACATACCGATATGTAGGCGAACCCACAGGTGTCCCTTTAATCTGAGTCGCTAATCTGAAAAAGGGACCCTTCTCATTCATCATTTTTTCGTCTGGAGCAAAGGAGTTGACACAAATGTGCGGCGCCTTTTTGCGCACACTATAACTTTTGATCTACCAAAGATTTTTCGATTCACTAAACTGTGTTGAATAGATCTTGACAAGTACTACAAGATTATATAAGTTTAAATAACTATTTCTTGTTCATGAACAAAGTTACAGACGCATAAATTGTTATATCGACCAAAATAGGAAATTAGGAGAAAAAGAAGGTCTGGAAAGTTGAGTTTTGATTTTTAGATCTAGAAGAAGCTTGGAACTTGACATTTTCCAGAATATTCAGATCCAAACAGTTTGAATGAATATAAAAATTCATTAAAAGGATAAAAATTCAAAATTTTTCCGGAAGCTTCCGGTCAAGATAACTCAGCTAATCTTGATTAAGGTTTTCTGAAATTCAGATTTTTAGAATTAGCAAGTTTGGAACAACAAAATGAGTATAAGCAAAACCTGGTTTGCAAAATGTTTGAAAATTTCGGAAACTTCCGGTAAAAAGCTTCCGGCTCTTATCACTAAATCTGTCATAATCCAAATTTAACAAGACGTTAATTTTCAAAATCAGCAAGTTATACCGATCATAATGAGTATAAACATGCCACATGTTGAATAAGTTTGAATATTTAGGTTTTTAAAGCTTCCGGATCTCATCACTTATTCTAACATAACTCAGCTAAAATTTGTTCAATTTGAATAAAAATTAATTTTTCAATATCATCAAGTTAAACCGGTCAGAATGAGTATAAACAAGTACTAATTTGAAACAGTTTGAAAATTTGGGTTGTTCAAGAGTTTCCGGTCCCTATCAAAAAATCTAACAAAACTCAGTTAGTATCCGTTCGATTTGAAAGAAATTTAGATTTCCGGAATTAGCCAGTTAAACCGGTCAAAATGAGTATAGACAAGCCCGGTCTTGCTGAACTTTGAAATTTTGGGTTGTTCAAAAGCTTCCGGTCCTTATCACTAAATCTATCATAACTCATCAATTCTCAAGTCAAATTTTTCGCAATGTAGATTTTTGAAATCAGTTGGTTAAGCCGGTCGAAACGAGTATATTGTTTAGCTTAGTTTTCCAAACTAATACAAGAATTTCGGAAAGTTCCGGAAGCTTCAGGTCCATCACCTTAAGCCCAGGATATCTCCATAAACTTGGTATCATTCAAATTCTCATAATCCTTAGATATTGAAAATTTACTTTTCCAACATTTTCAGAGGAAAAATAATCTTCTTAATTGCCCAGGACCAATTACACAATCTTGACGCCTTCAAGTGGTCATGTCCACATTTCTTATCATATCTAGAGACAGAGAGTCAGGGTAATAAAATTCGATTTTCCGTGTTTGCAGAAGGTCCTTTTAGATGCCT